CGATCCCTCTCCGCGGCAGGCCAAAACGGTCCCAGTCCTCTGAGCGACCGGAAATGACGGTCTCTAGTCGTGCTCAGTGCACCTATCCTTCTTGCTGTCTTTGGGGGTTACTCTTAAAATCTAGTGCGTGCAGAATCAGGGGTACCCTGAGTTCTCATAATTCCTGCAGCCCGGTCATCCCAAAGCACTGTCAAAACGCGGACTTAACCCTGAGCCTAAACCCCTAAACTGCCGTTTTCAGGCGGCGCACTACTTGTGGCCGCCTGACACCCCAGTGCCGCTAACACATCCGTGACGATTCTCTTTACCCCTGGGGTCCCGGATGCGGTAGCATCCCTTTCCTTCCTCTTACGCCTTTGCAGCCGCATCTGGTGCTGCTGCACCTGGTCCAGGCTCCCTTCTTCCACTCATTTGTCTATAGTTACCCAGGTGAGCTTCTCACTCCCTTCCCCATGCTTTGTCAATTTTGCGGCGTCCAAGCCCATAAGCAATCCTAGGAATGTGGCGCACTGCGCCTCCTCTGAAATCCCGTGCACTTTCCTTGCCTTTTTCGTAAATTCGTGCACAAACGCCCCAATGGTAGATAAGTCTTCCTTATTCATGGCCTCCAAGTCGTCCATGGTCAACAGGTCATCCCCCAATCCGTACTTCCTCCGCATCAGGTCCCCAAACTTTATCCAACTGCCATTGGCGGCGTCCACGACCTTACTTCACGATGGTGACTATGGAAGACATACCTTAGGACCCCCTGGAGCTTGACTTCATCTGACAGTCCTACCAGCGCCTGCTCTGTCAGGTCCAACCAGTCAGATACTCGATCCCCCTTGAAGTGGAACGTCCCAATCTTTGGGACATTGCTTGGCGCCCTCTCGCGCTTGTCCAAAGCATCGATGAGGTCGTCAAGTGTCACGAGCCTCCTCCCACCGTCCGCCATCACCTCTAGCATTTTGATCAGCCACCTCCAGCTTCAAACCTCCTGTTATAAGAAACGATAGGACGAAAGGCCCCACTCAGCAGTTCATTCCCTCACGACCCTACCGGGTTGACCCCTCAAATATCCGACGCTCTAGACCTGGCAGACATTTCTCTTCTTGTTTCCCTTCGGCCTACTTAGATAAGGCCTACCCTTACCATAAAGTCTCCTCACACACTCGCCTCATCCACGCTATCAGCCAATCCGCCAGTCAATCAAATATTCACACCCACTGTCATACAGACCACCATACAATTCATCGTATAATCTTCCCCTTATCCACTCATATGCCTTGTTCTCCCTCATTCCCATACCCGGATGTCGTTCCACCAGGGACAACGGTAGGCTTCCGTTATCCCCGGCATCGGCGCCACCTGTCGAGCGCATCGATCCGGCACCACGCGCGGCAGTGCGGGACCCTCTCGGCCGCGTCATGCAGGAGTTGGACCAACCTCGACACGAACACGCAAATGGAGCTTCCTTAGGCCGCTCCGGCCGAGTGCGCCAGCCATACCTCTCGCGAGCCCTACGACAGGATAGGGCCTACGCGAGGCACAACTCACCTCCACCTTACGGGAGCTGTCACCTCCCATCGGTGAACATATCCCCGCCGAGCTACCAGTCTACAATACGAAAGCTGATCGACTGCAATCGTAGAGGTGGACCAGCCGATGGCGTTTCTCGTTCGCTGTAGCATAGGGGGTACGAGCGGTAATACGCCTATGGGACCCGCACGCGAACCGACATCTCGGGGGGCTGAGGTCCCAAGCACGACTCGTCGTTGGTCGACTAGGACGCATCTCACACACCACGCGCACACACGAAACGACACGATAACGCACATCACTCTTAACAAATATAAAATAAAAACACACGCCCACGTACACAGGCAAGACAACACAACACGAACAACGTGATAACGCTCCTAGCCCCTCAGTAGCCGACCCATAACTTTTCCGACGCGGAAATCAGATTGGCGTCGCGCGCGAGACCCGATATAAAAGCGCGCGGATGCGGGGCTATCTCATATCGACTTGCAATGCGAATGTGCGCAAGCAGTCGCGATGATGACGTACTATGTAGTACCCATACTCACGTGGTCCTCGTTAATCTCGAGGGCCGTATTTGACACTCAAGTGTCGGCTGACACGCGCCTTGAGGGTTAATTTCTCAGTGCTAGACAACCGCCTTGCGCGGTTGAAGACCACACACCCTCTTTTGCACCCTTATGCAAAGTGGGTGATACAAAGGCCTATGCCTGTGGTGGTAGTCGTCTCTCGCGGCCCTAGGGGTAAGTCCTCCTCAGGGCCTGGGCGAAAGTCAAGGGGTTTGACTTTGACGGCTGCCACAGAATACAACGTCCAACCATTAAAATCTCTAAAAAGTTAACAAAACACGCACAAACCCAAGAAGAGGGAATAGGGCAAAGGTCCCCTGGCTTTTAAGAGGACTCGTGACCTTAGAGCACCCTTCCCCTGTATGGGTGGTGCCGACGGCCTATAGTAATCCCAAGCGCTGTGCCTACGTGCGAGCCCGGCGATCCCATAACTTTTAGATGCTGGGGCGGCAAAGCGTCTTGTGCGGGACTTTAACATAAAGTTGCGTGGCCGCAGGCCATTTCTATGCCAACCACCGATGTCAATCGTACGTGGTAACCACGGCTCCGGCCTCGCGATATTGAATGGCTGAAGGAACACATCGCGAGGGGTCACCCCTCACGATATTGAACGGCTGAAGGACATGCCGTTCGGCCCCCGCGACATTTCCGCCTTCAAGGTGGGGTGTCTCGCCGGCCAAAATAATAAGGCTCTGTGCGAGGGAAAATTTCTCCCCTGCAGAGTCTAGGGCTTGGGATGTCCTCGACAAGGACCTTGAATCCCGGTCCAGGACCGACGTCCGACTAAGAAAACCACAAGACGCAAATAGGCAGAAGGGACGGTTTTCCCTGTTCCTCAGCCTCAGCCTTTTAAACGAGATTTTACCATGGGCCTCTTAGGCCTCTTAAATATTCATCACAAGCCTTCCCACGCATACATGCATAAGGAGATAGAGTTGCGACGATTACTTCTCACAGGCACATTAGGACTCCTCACAACCATATGTATGTATATGGGATCGCAGGCAATCCAAATCCAAAATCTGAGTCACGGGACATACCTGCAATCACATCAAGAATCAAACGACAAGCACGCACTACACGGAGTCAACCCCAATCATTCTCTGTGCTCATACCCCTTCACTTTAACCATGCAAGCCCCAACCGCCGATCCAACTAACCTCAATTAAATGTTAAGTACCTTTGTTAAATGGTCATTCAATAAAAGTCCGGGTGAAACCCTTAAGAAACAGTAAAACCACCAGGGCTAAAGCCTTTTAGGTTGAGTATGGGGAGTGCGTTGGAATTGAGTCGAAGACCGACGAATCGGCAACCGACCTGTTATCAGTGATAACAGAAGGTGATCCTCTGGGGATCAAGCTGAGTCTAGTCTTGATCTTGAATCAGACAACCCGAAGGACCTGTAACACAAGATAGATCAAATCCCCAGGCTTAATCATCAGCATATGGGGGATAAACCTCCATAGCGCATTTTCACTCAAAGCTCCCTGCCAACAAAGTTAAAACTTGTCTCTAAGCCAGTGCCCAAGGCAAGGGTAGACCAATGGCTGAATCTCCCCTATTCAAGGTGGATTGCCAGAATCGCCACCTGTCAAAATACAATCTCACTCCTCTAATTCAAGAAAAATTCGGCAGCGCTTTCCGTAGGAAAAGTGTCTTTTCAGAATTTATATAAGCTCAGATATCAAAATTAGGAGTAATCTATAACTCTGGAAAGTGAAATTTTGTCTAACTCCCTGAATTAGTAGAAATTTGGGCAGCATCGCCTTTGGAATCAAGGATTTCCCAGATTTATACTAAGCCAAATTTGGACTCAACCCCCAACCTTGAGTTTAACTTAGACAAAATCTCACTAATTCCTTAGTTTTACAGAAATTTCGGCAGCACTCCCCTTAGAAAAGCGCTCTCCCAAAGTTTACACAAGGCTAAGTCTGAAACCTGAGACTAACTTTGACTTCCCAAAGCCCAATTTTGTCTAACTCTCTGATTTAGCAAAATTTGGGCAGCACTCCCATTAGAAAAGGAGGCTTTCTAGATTTTTACTAAGTCAGATATAACGAAAAGACAGGCTGAACTTTGAGAAGTTAAAAGTTGTCAAACTCCTTGAATCTGTAAAAATTTCGGCAACGCTTCCCGTAGAGAAAGTAGTTTACCAAAATTTATACAAGTCCAAGTATAATAGCGAGTCTCAGAAAATGCAAGAATCGATCCAAGTAAAATAAAGTCAACTCAGAAAATGCAAGAATTGACCTAACTCCTATCGCTCTAGCACGTGGCGAGCCTCTAAAACGACTACCTGTCAACCTGAAACTTAGACCAAGTAGTAATCTCACTCAGCCACATGCAGGCCAAACCACACAGGTAAGTACTCTCACCAATCTCAAGCCTTTTAACAAACAATAGTTCATGCTCTCTTTGTGAGTTATCCCATTATACCCAACCTACACAAGGCATAGGTCAGGGCCCTTTAACTTACAGAGCGCACCCAACTTAGCCAGGCCCGAAGTCAGAATACCTAAACTTATAGAACGTTCAGACTTGACCAGGTATACACAAACAGAGGGCGCCACTACTTTTTTCTTCTTTGGGCATATGACTAGACCACTCTAGTCGCCCTGAACTGTTTAAATAGTCAAGTTATATATACTTCTCTGAACATAGTCTTCTAAAGGGACATAGGGCTGAGCCGCTCAACTTAGAACACTGCTCAGCCTGCCCAGGTTTACCTTCAGTTATACCTCTTAGTTATACTCTCTTCAATTGTAATAAGCTATAGTCAGGCTACCTAAGCTTATAGAGCGGTCTGACTAGCCTGTTCTTAATAGCATAGTAATATAGTATAATCAGATTATATCCTTTGGGTTTCAACATGTGCGAGGCATTGGATCAGACTACCTAAACTTATAGAGCGGTCTGATCCCCTGCCAGGTTCGTTTCTCTCTGGTCGAGTCTGTGCAAGGCAGTGGGACAGGCTACCTAAGCTTATAGAGCGACCTGCCTCCTGCCAGAGTTATTCCCTCAGAACAAAACAGGAGAAGGGTCGAACCACCTAAACTTATAGAGCGGTTCAGACCTCCTCATTCAGAACCAAAGAAACTGAGAGAACCCCAAGTAATACGAGGCAACCCAAGGTACCTAAACTTATAGAGCGCCTTGGGTCCCTAAAAGTCACCCACAGTCAAACCCTCACAAGCCAGAGCAGTCAGGTCACCTAAACTTATAGAGCGTCCTGACTCTCTATACAGTTCACATCACTGGGTCTCCCCAAACTTATGGGGACATCCCAGCCTCTAGGGCTTCAGGCTACCTAAACTTATAGAGCGGCATTTTCGGTAAAGAAACCCCGAAAGCCTATCAAGATATAATGCCTAGAAAGACTAAGTAAAATCCTGAAACCCCGTAGTGCATTTTCGCTATCGAAACCCCAAAAGCCTATCGAGATATAATCCCTAGAGAGACTACCCCGTAGTGCATTTTCGCTATCGAAACCCCGAAAGCCTATCGAGATATAATCCCTAGAGAGATTAAGTAAAGTCCTGAAACCCCGTAGTGTATTTTCGGTAACGAAACCCCAAAAGCCTATCGAGATATAATCCCTCGAGAGACTGAGTAACATCCTGAAACCCGGAAGTGTATTTTCGGTAATGAAACCCCGAAAGCCTATCGAGATATAATCCCTAGAGAGACTTAATAAAATCCCGAAACCCCGTAGTGCATTTTCGGTAACGAGACCCCGAAAGCCTATCGAGATAAAATCCCTAGACACACTGAGTAAAATCCCGAAACCCCGTAGTGCATTTTCGGTAACGAAACCCCGAAAGCCTATCGAGATATAATCCCTATAGACACTAAGTAAAATTTGGAAACCAGGTGGTGTATTTTTGGTAACGAAACCCTGAAAGTGTATCGAGATATAATCCCTCGAGAGAATTAGTAA